CTTTATAACTACATTAAAACGAAACCCTGACAGCTGATATGGTTTACCGCGAACTTTTCAAAGCAAGTTTTCTCGTGTTCCGTAGAATAAAACAACCTGTGATGATTTCGGATCACATTTATGTTTGGCACAAAGTGTAACAAATTCTGTTCCAAACTGTTTGATTTTTGAAACGATTATGAGGGAAAGGAAAATAGATTGCAGGTTTCCTTTTTATCGCCCCATTCAAACAACGATAACAAGCCCGTTTCCTATTCCACGTCATTGTGACAGCAGTTTTGCCGTACTGGTTTGTCAACTTCAGTTTCCTCCTTGAAGGAAACACTGGACATCAGTAAGCAGTGGTGTGTTATGCCTTTCAAGCAATAAAAAAATCTGAAAAGGAAAGTATCATTCCTTGCGATTCTGCACAAGTCACTGGCCTTGGATTCACTCTTGACAATAAAATGTTTTAACGTTAGTCAGAAAGTGCATAAATCATACTGCAAAGTCATAAACTTGTTGACAAAACTACTGAACAGCCCAAGTGAAAATCTACTGTTTAACCCACTCTGCTTTAAATAGTCGATATTGATAAGAATATATAATAAGCCACGTGCCAACTTTATGAACGATAATAATCTCTATTTTTAAGTTTATAAAAAACAGGTAAGTAAAACTACAAAAGTGTTAATCTGCTTCTACTATCATTTCAAGTCCGACGAACTGCTAGTAAGCCGCACGCCACTGAATGTCCGATCACCTACCAGTAGTAACGTGTGTGATGTGCAAGGTATTTTCTACAACTGTAATGTGGGTCAGCAGGACAGCGCCCTCCGGGTCTCGGCCTGCTATTCAAATGCAAACCCCTTCTCCCTCAAGACTTGGACGATGATGGTGAAAAATTGCGAAACCTGGCACTGGAGACTGCATTCACGGCCTTACACATGAGGACTTGAACTGGGATTGTCCCACACACCTACGTTTTTCAGACCTACCCCGTCTCTCCGCAAAGACTAAACCAGCACAAGGGCATCGACTGAAAATGACGTAATGTGTGTGTGTGTGTGGGTGGGTTCACGTAGGAGGGAAAATTAAATTCGCAGATTGTGACCAGCTCTTATGGGGAAAATGAAAAAATTATACACGTGTTATCCATTTATTCAAATAATATGATACTGTCGAAAAACTGGTTGGTTGGTCATCACTTGCTGTTATGGGATTTTGAACCCTATGACATAATATATATTACCATGTGATTACGACTTCAGTTAGTTTTTCCCGGTCTACACAACAACTACACCAAACTGTCCATATATTAGTGTTTTATGAGTTGACAGTTTGTGATAATAATTTCCTGTGATTCAAGTTCAGGATACCAATGTCAACTATCCATTAAATGGAAATCTCAACTGAAGCTTCTTCTACATTACTTTTACAGGAACAATAAATCTACACCAAAGGTGTCATCCTTATCATACACACTGCAACTTTGACCCTTCAATGACCTCACAGCTCATTTTCCCACTTTTCTGTAATTTAAGAAGTGCATACAAAATGTGAAACCACCATAACAGTCTAAATGTAACAAAATTCATATGGATACTGCAACAATATATTTTTTTTAATGAAAGTGCTTTAAACAATAAACCATCGGTGTCGGGTCAGACCGGTAAAATGCTCAGTGGTTCTCACCACGCCACCCAATAATTTTCACCCGACATGAGTGTTCTTATGCTTGAAATGTTATACCTAGACACACAGCTGCTGCTATAGTTTTTGAACTTCGTGTTACCACATAGCATCACCAAACAAAATTGTCTCCATCACCTCAATTCCAATCATTACTTAGTCTATATACTCATGACGATGATAAACTCATACTTTCCTACAGCCATTCTCAATCAAAAGCATTAACCAAGTCAGAAGCGTTAATAGATAATTTCCTACCATCAGAAATGGGTAATGTGTTAATTCTTCTTCTTCTTCTTCTTCTTCGCTAGCACTACAGCCCTTGGTGGGCTCTGGCATCCCGAACAATATGTCCCCATCTCTCCCTATCTTGAGCTACCTTCTTCCAGTTGCACACTTTCATTTTCCTTTATCGCATCAATCCACCTTCCCCTTGGTCTTCCTTTAGGTCTTGTTCCCCACAGTTTCTGGTTTAATACCAAATATGGCAGTCTATCCTCTCCCATTCTGACCACATGTCCCGAAAATCTTAACCGTTGCGATTTAATATATCTCACAACGTACTCATGATGGATCGATTCTTCATCCTCTCCCATTCTGACCACATGTCCCGAAAATCTTAACCGTTGCGATTTAATATATCTCACAACGTACTCATGATGGATCGATTCTTCAAACTCCGCATTATATCTAATTCTATACGATCCATCATTATTCTTTAGGAGGCCAAAGCTTTTGCATAGAATTTTCGTTTCAAAGCACGTTAACTTGCTTTCTACTTGAGATGCGAGTTTCCAAGATTCCGCTCCATAAGTTATTACCGGTCTAATAAGTGTCCTGTACAGTCTTAACTTTGTGGTCCTTGAGAGAATTTTAGATTTAAACAGTTCTATATGTGCATAATATTGTCTGTTTCCAGCTTGGATCCTGTTTTTGACTGTCTCCTCCTCCTCTAAGTTGTTTTGTATGAGAGCTAACTTGTTAAATACTACCTGAAAATTTCATTCTGACAGGAACAAAAAAAAAAACTTGTTTCATGTACATATGAAATCATACATGAAAGAACATTCATCTTCTTTTTGATATGTTAATAAAATATAAAGTTTCTTTCTAACTTCCAATCAAAGTAGGCTAAGTATCTTGATAAGCAACTTTCATTTAAAAAAAGCTGTAATTTTTGCTTACTTTCTCATATCATGAAGAAAGACAAGCTGTGATATCATGTTCATGTCTATCTCCATAAACTAAATTTGTGAAATTAATTTCACATCACTAATGATTACCCCACATTTGTACTATCCGCATCTTATAATGTCAACATGGAACCTGCACAAAGTCCTTAAATGGGAGTAGCATTTGCCAATCTTTAGTGTCCACAAATTTTGTGTACAAGCAATCTTCCACTTTGTTTATGGTGTCGAACTACATGGCAGCTCCATAAAACCTATACTTAGCATTTCGCTTAAATGCAGTAACTAACGAACCAATGATTCCAGGCTTGTGAATGTAATATGGAAAATAATCATATAAGTTGCAAGTTATTTTACATGTTTACAATTATAAAAATTGCAATGGAACCAATCTTTGAGGTTACATATCACAAATCTGTACAAGAGGAAATTATGTAAACAGAACACTAAACTGTATACGTTGTTCTTACTACCATCAAAGTCAAAGCATCATAAATTTCTTTCCAGAACTCCTTGCTCAAAAGGTGGTAGAGTAGTATAAGCAAACATATTCTTTATGTGTGTAAATGTGAAAACATGTTTTCTTCGTGCAGTGAAAAACATGAACTAGAAACAGAAAAAATTCTAAAACACGTAATAAAAGCTGAAAAAAACCTCATATTACTATTCTCCAGTTTAAACATTCTAAAGCATATAAATTATTTTCAAACTTTTCTCTACTCTTTAAAACTATTTTCAAGAGGGAAACATAGCAAACTAGTCAATGATTAAGAAAATATTTCACACCTTAGATAAGGCATGCCCCCACAGCTTAGAAACCAGCAGCGCAAGTCAAAAATGTAACTCAATAGGAATCATAATTCCTTTCCATACCTAACATAACAGAAAATAGTCAAAATGAATGCCACCTGCTAATACATAACCTTTACTGTCCTTGCATGCCACTGTAGTCATAGTTTCCACAGATAAGACCAAAAACATTACATAACAACATGCAAAGGTGCAAACCCATCAGCAAAATATCCAGTAAATTATTGGCACTACTGCTACAATTTCAGGCAACCTGGTATCCATGATTTGTGAAGGCCTGGTAATGAAATTATGGATTTGCTAGCAAGGGAACATATTCTTAAATAAGTCCCTATAAGAGACTCACTTTTAAAACCTTGCTCTGAAGATTTTCTTTTGAGCAATAAATACTTTTTGGTTATATGCTGAAATTCCCCAGAACCATACTCGTACGACAATTTTAGAAAGGACATTTAAATTAAATGGTCCGCTGGCATTAAAATATAATAAATTTAAAGTGTGATAAGGGATTAAAAAGTCATGAAGAACAGAGACAAAGAAGCTCAAGAAAATTTGATGCTAATTTCATTATGAAAATGCACATGCCCGCATTTTCTGTAGTATGGCCATGACCAGAAATGACATTCAAACAATACCTTCACACACTATTCCAAAAATTTCCATCATTTATCTCGGTCAATAAACATAAATCTTCAGGGGACATTACAGGACATGGGAAAGTCCATCTGCCATTTCTGAGCTATGGAGTAATATAAGACAAATTTTAATCATGTCAATAAATAAAAATAACACCATATATCTAAGAATGTAAACATCAGGGACTGAAATCTCTATCACATATTATGTTATTAAAAGTGAAGGAAATGAACATATACTGAGCATTCTTTATTCATAATTAATCAGTTAACTATGATTACGTTTCCTGTTTTCCATTTACCAATTTAAATAAGGCACCATGCTATACGACTTTATGCTTCTATATATCCAAACTAAAGTGACACCACCACCGACCAGATCTGGTACAGGTAAAAACGATTTGCATTGACAACTTACTGTCATTAACTATGTAAATTAAATTTTATTCGCCTAACCCTTCCAAGGGTAACTAGTAGGCCGACCACTTCAGAAAATGTTCACTGTGTGAAAAGACATTATAAATTACACACAGATTTAATACTTCAGAGCCTGCTCCTCATATTTTAAGCATTACTTCGTTGTACACCAGAGAATGAACTGTCTACTCAGCCATTTTACGCGCCCAACCGTTTCTAGACGCAAGTCTTCGTATAGTAACGCCCTTGCAAATAGACAATATTTTCTGACACTTACCTTTATAATAAGCTCTATCTCTGGCACATCTCCTCCATTTGTTCCATTCTGAATTGACTCGTCTGCCATGATGAATTAGATATTTCTATTTTAACACAATAATCACTCTACTTAGTTTACCACGTACTTTCCAACCTGTCGCTCTCCGGCTGGAAACTTCAGGTAAACTTGGAACACCAGAACATGCGCAATACGTTCTGCGCAAGGCAACCAAAGAGTAACAACCAGAGATATTCCACACAATTTGCTGGCCGAGTGTATAGTATCTTGTACTTCGCAACTGTTTGCTTTTAAAATGAAAAGAGCAATTCATAAGATAAAATTTGCATTTTTACAGTACGTCAAGCTGAAAGTCACTTGGGGAATGTCTCTGATGCAACGAATCGAACTTCCGGCTAAATTATCGGTAATACACAGTTGTAAAGTAAAAGTACAGCCA